AAAAAAAAAAAAAAAAAAAACAACTCAAGCCACAAGGAGTCAAGGCCAGAAAGAGGCTACCCCTGCCCTTGAGGAATGGTGTGACAGGGACAGGAAGTGAGAGGGAAAAGAGACACGCCCCAGTCCCATGCGCCCAGGCCCTCATGCGCCCAGGCCCTCGGTTAGGGTGACCTGATGCGGAGGGAGCTGGCCCTGGTGGCGGCCACACCCAGGTCACACCAGGTTGTATTCCTTCAGGTTCAGCTGCAGGATGGTGTCCTTCACGGCGGCAAACACAAAGCGGATGTTCTCAGTGTCGGTGGCACAGGTAAAGTGTGAGTAGATGATCTTGTCACTGTCAGGATTCAGGTCCACAAACATCTTCAGGATGAACTCACGGGCGGCCTGCGCATCCCGCTGCGGTCCTGCAGGCAAGTGGGAGAGCGCCAAAGTCAATAACCTCCTAGGTGCCCATCACAGTGGCAGCCAGGCCTCAGGGTGACGGTGGGGGACAGTGCTCACCGTCAAACTCAGGGAAGTAGTCAACCAGATGTGAGTGCAGGATCTTATCTTCTAGAAGGTCCTTCTTGTTGAGGAACAGGATGACAGATGAGTTCTGGAACCAGGGGTAGGTGATGATGGTGCGGAACAACGCCTTGCTCTCCTCCATACGATTCTGTGGGCCAACTCTCACGGTGAACAGGCTACCCACACCTGCCTCCCTCCCAGCCCTCACGAGTATCCCTAGCGTTACCTCGTTGTCTGACTCCACCAGGACCTGGTCATACTCGCTTAGGGCCACCAAGAACATGATGGATGTCACATTCTCGAAGCAGTGAATCCACTTCCTGCGCTCTGACCTCTGCCCACCCACGTCCACCATCCTAGAGAGAGAAAGACGGCATGACAACCCAGCTCCCGGATGCTGCGTGCAGCCAGGATGACTGGGCAGGCATTCCCGTAGATGCTCAAGTCTCTTGTACAGATGGTGCCCTTTCCAATCTGAAACACGTCTACACGACTCAGAGTCACATAGCACCTGCACACGTTGGGGGCATACATCATTTCCCTCCATTTGTGCTGCTGGCATCTGGCCCGTGGACTTTGCTTGCTGGCGGCATGGGAACCACAGGGCCACCCACCTGGCCACACCTGGCCATGTGGTCCCTGAGGATACGCCATGGGCGTCTGCCTTCACTAGGGTGGCCATGCAGCCTGGGATGGACACACTGTCTTGGAGATATGGCTCCATCAGTGCTGAGGAGTGTGTGCCTATGAAGGGCCACCACAGGGAGGGAAGGACAAGACAGTGATGGACAGGATGCCTTCAAACCCAGGGAGCCAGGTCTCTGCCCTGATGTCACAGCATCATGGTGCCACCAGGGGCCTTATACAAAAGCAGGTTAAAACTCAGCTGCACACATGGGCAAGGAGAGGTAGAGATGGTACAGCATACCTGCAGGTAGAGGACCTACCACCAGATGCTGGGAGGGGCCTGGGACAACTGTCACCAAACCCAGCCTGACCTCATCATATGAGTCCCCATTCTGACCCTGCTTCTCCTGAGTCTGTCGGTGAGGGTGCTGAGTGGGAGCAATGCATGTCCCCATGGCACACCATCAACGCTTGCCTTGTGCCCTGACAGGTTCTCCAACCAGAGACTGCAAAGCCCAGATCACTCCCCATCCTCCCGACAGCCCCCTGGGCCCATGGCACCCTGACCATTACCTGAAGATGATGTTTTCCAGGTCAAACGGGTACTCGATGATGCCAGTTGTGGGCACTCGTACCCGTAGCACATCCTGTTGGGTGGGCAGGTAGCCTACGGTGGCGATACGGTCCACGTCCGTCAAGTAGCTGCGGTATAGGGATATCTGCTCAGGAGCCGGTGGGGACAGTGGCACCTGGGACATGTGCAGATCCCACACGCACAACAGACAAGGATTTGGCATCATATAGCGGGGCCGGTGGCCTAGTACACTGCCAGCCCTGGTAAGAGCACACTGCCTCCACAGGCCTAGGGACACAAGTGTCTCACATAGAAAATGATCCCAGGAAGGCACTCGGCGCCCCTGCCCAGGACAGCTGGAGAATGGGGCCCATGGCACAGGGATACCTCGTAACACTCCACTCAGGGTCAGGGTGGCTGTGGGCTTAGAACAGGCAGTCCAGACAGAGAGCTCCAGACAGCTGCAGTTGACGTGTGTCTGTGTGACAACTTCCTGACCACACTCTCCTGACCTGTGACTGCCTCCTAGATGTCCCCGGCAGGGCCAGGCTCTTTTTCCAGCCAGGGCTTGGGGTCATGTTAAGAGGTTGCAAAGAGGGTGGCCTACTGGACCAGCTGAGAGGCCTGGGTCTCACCCCTTTCCTCAAGCTTCCCCTTGGTCTCTCTGAGGCAGAAGTGTAAGGAGGGTCAGTGGGGAGTCAGGCCAGTCCTGCGCTGTGTGGTCCCCCAGATCTGGGCAGGGGAGCAGAGAACTGGTCTTGATTGGCAAAGCTGGCCAACCCTGTGGGTGATGAGGCTGTGGACAGGTCACACAAGCCACCTCATCCCACAGGCTCTTGGGCTTAGGTCGTGACCATTTGCTTCACTTGGGTTAGCCACGCATGCCAGTCCCACTCACTATTTAGCCGAGTCAGACAGCTGAAACTCCCGCCTGCGATCATAACACTCCTGGACGCCAGGGTCACTCCACAGCGTCTTGATGGCATTCACATATTGGTGCTCAAAGGTCGTGACCTTCTCAACGTCCACCTCCCGGATCAGGAGTGCATTGGCCTGAGGGAGGGAGGGAGGGTAGACGGCCATGAACTCCTGGGGGGACCATGGCCAAGCAGCGGGCTGGCAGCGCAGTTAAGGGAGCTGCAGCTTGGGTTCACAAGGCCCAGACCTTTGGGAGGCAACAAGGCTGCATGCCCCTTCACCTCCAGGAGCAACTAGGGGACGGTTGCCCCACGATCATGCTTCCTGGCCACACAAACTAAGCTGTGACCCACCGGGTGGGTGGACACAAGGGCTGGGAGAGATGAGGACAATGTGTAGCTCCCTTTGGGGACTCCTTTGTTTTCTGAAACAAGGTCTCATGTAGCCCAGGCTGACTTCAGGGTGTAGTCGAGGAGGACCTTGAACTCATCCTGCAGGTTCTGCAATAGCAGACAGGTATACCTGAGGGATGTGTGTATGTGTGTGTATACGTGTGTATGTATGTGTGCATGTATATATGTGTGTGTGCATGTGTATATGTGTGTGTGTATATATATGAGTGTGTGTGGTGTATGTGTATATTTGTGTATGTGTGTGTATGTATATATATGTGTGTGTGTATACATGTGTGTATACGTGTGTATGTATGTGTATGTGTATATGTGTGTATGTATGTGTGTATATATGTGTGTATGTATATATGTGTGTGTATATATATGTGTGTGGTGAATGTGTATATGTGTGTGTGTATAAGTGTGTGGTGTATATGTATATATGTGTATGTATATATATATGAGTGTGTGTGTATATATATATTTGTGTGTGTATATATATGTATATATATATGTGTGTGGTGTATGTGTATATGTGTGTGTATGTATATGTGCGTGTATATATATGTGTATATGTATATGTGTGTGCGTGTATATGTATACGTGCATGTGCAAGAGCGTGTGTGTGTGTGTGTGTGTGTGTGTGTGTGTGTGTGTGTAACCCAGGTCTTCATGCCCTCCAGGCCAGCCTCTAACCACAAGAATCCAGCCAACCCTGAACTTGCTCTTTCTGAAGTTCCCACAAAGGGGACTTCAGAGCTACCAGGAGGTGGCCCTTCAACATCCCCAGGCCAGAGGAGCCAATAATTACACAACACCAGCCCTTGAGGGCCTGACCATGGAGCATTCTCTTCCCAAGGTGGCCTCTGTCTTGAGCCACTAGGAGTAGACATGGCTCCCAGGCTGACAAGGTGTGTGGCTTCACACTGCTCACCCAGCAGCCGACACGTGTCAGGCTGCATGGGTCTCACTGACCCTGGAAAGGAAAGCATCTGCCCATCTGCCTGTCCTGGTAGGAAGGACCCCAGCCATGACAGTGACTACCCTGACCCTCAGGTAAGGCAGGAAGCTTCCAGAACCTGCCCTCATTGGCCTGTTTGTTGAAGGGCCAGAAGGTTGTGCTCATCCACAGTACTGGGCTGCAGTTTCCTAGCTGCCTCCCTGCACCAGTGAGGCCCACGGCTCAAAGGAGACCCCAGGCTCCCAGACAACCATAGTCAAGAGGCTATGCAGACACAGGCTCAGGCAAGCTAAGAGCCAAGGTGCCCCCTACAGCCATATCTAGGACCACAAGACCCCAACTTGACACCAGGGGCTCTGTAGAGGAATGGCAAGCTGCGGACCAGTTTGGGTTACTGAGCAAGACCGTTTCTAAAGCACAAGGATTGGGGGCTTGTGATTTCAGGTCTAACCGGCCCAAGACTCTGAGCTCCACAGGATTTTAAGAAAAAATAAGCTGGCATGGTGGTGCACACCTTTAATCCCAGCACTCAGGAGACAGAGGCAGGCGGATCTGAGCTGGTCTACAGAGCAAGTTCCAGGACAGCCAGGGCTACACAGAGAAATCCTATCTTGAAAAACATTAAAAAAAAAAAAAAAAAAAAGGGAGCACCCGGCGTGGGTCTCCACGGCCTTACTAGCCAGCTCCCATTTTCTAGCCCCTGCCTCCAGGCCCTGCCCTGACTCCTACCTTGTTCTGCTCATACTTGTAGAGGATCTTGAGTGTCTCCATGGCGCGCACCATGGCCTGCATGGCGGTGAAGATGTTCTGGTACACCAGCTTGGTGAAGCCACGCTTGTCCTCCTCGGAGTAGCCAGCGCCATGGATGATGCGCATCTGCTTGATGAAGGTGCTTTTCCCGCTCTCGCCGGTGCCTGCAGACAGAGCTTGTCAACACCTGTCACGGGTCCCAAAGCCCCGCCCACTACTGTGGGGCACTGCATGGTGTCCTTTCTGAAATGTTGGATCCCTTGGGATCCTACTTGGCTCCCATCTGAGGAGTCGGGGCACTCCCTGAAAAACATGGGGTACCCACTCTCCAGCTGCCGCAGACAGGGATGCCACGAGCTTGTCCCCGGACCCTCTGAGTCTCTGAGCCCTTCCCTGGCCTAAGGCCCACCCAGCAGCACCTGAGGCCTTGCCACCAACCCCCATGACAGAAGGTCCGGAGTTTGATTATTAATCCCCACACATGGTCAGCACAAGGGGTGCTCACTTGGTCACCCCAACCCTACTCTCAGCATGGGCACTATCCACACCTCCTCCACGAGAAGGTGTACTTGGCACTTAGTCCCTGCAGGAAATGTCCAGGGCTGGCCCCAGAAAGGCTGCTGGGCCTAAGGTAGAGAGGGCCTGGGGACTTGCTATGTATGCACGTGGTTTTCCTGGGACCCCCTGCCCACTTCTCTGAAGCAGTTTCTCTGCAGGCCACGTGTGCTGGTCCAAATGTTGGGGACCTGTGCCTCAGCTGTCACAGCTCTGTGGTGCAGTGTGCCTGCAGACCTTATCCCCTCAGATGCTTCATCCAAATCTGAAAGGGTCCAAAATCCCCAACCTCTGAGTTTTATGTCAGTCCTCAATAATGTTCTCCCCAGGCCAGCCAGGGCTACCCAGTCAAAAGGAGAGGAGAGTACCAACTCTTCGGTGTGTGGAGTGTACATGCACACTTACACACATTCACACCAGTGTGCACAGCTGTGTGAGCACACACATGAACGTGCATGCAAAGGTCAAGGCAGACGTACATGTGGGATCCTTAGCGGCTTCTCCACTGTGTGCTCTGAGCAAGGAACCACAAGGGAAAAGTAACAGGAGGTGGAGGGCTGTGGCAGTACAGTGAAGCTGTGTCAGCCTGAGGACTGCTGTCAGGAGCCCAGAACCATGAGAGTGAGGATGTGGGTATGGGGGCTACCTGAAACCTCACTGCTTGGGGTATACAGGGTGTCCCCGGGCTAAACTAGCTTGGGCTCAAGTGGAACTGGCTCAGTGAAGTGCATGTGTGACCGAGGAAGACACATGACAGTAACCTCTGGCCTCCTCATGCACATGCACCCCTGTACCTGTGGGGACACAAATGCAAGCAAAAAATGCACACACTAGTGCCAAAAATAAACTACAAGTATAAAAATAGGGCTGTCACTCACAGGCAGAGCTCCCAATGAGGGCATGGGGGCATGCTCAGGGTGGAGCCCCACCTAGAATCACCCAGTGAGGGGCTGGTGTTGGATCTCGCCTGTGTGAGGTCCTGAGTTTCATCACTAACACTAAATACACACAAACCTGTAGCCAGTGGTTCTCAACCTGTGGGTCACTCACACCCAGGCAGATACTGTCTACCACACTGGGTTTAACTAAAGGACCATAAAAGTGACATCAGGATCTTAGGAGGTGGTGGCACACGCCTTTAATCCCAGCACTCAGGAGGCAGAGGTAGAAGATCTCTGAGTTTGAAGCCAACCTGGTCTCCAGAGAGAGTTCCAGGACAGTCAAAAAAAAAAAAAAAAAAAAAAAAAAAAAAAAAAAAAAAAAAGTGACATCAGAGCCTCAGCTCACCAATGGTTATGCATATACCTGCACACACCCCCAGGGCTGTCACATGCACATATAGTACATATATGCAGACATGTGAACTCCTGCTCTTGGGCAGGGAAAATGGCAGTGCACGCCAGCCCAGCTGCATGGAGTCCCTACCATAAACTGAGCCAGTAACAGGGTCTTCAGTAGAGGGACAGAAAGGGTGCAATGCTGCGAGGGAACCCGTCCCTGCTATGTGGGAGTTGCAGGCCAGCCAAATCCACCTGCAGATCAGGGGTACCCACAGAGCAGGACAAGGGCTGGAGCTGGCAGATCACACAGCATGTTCACAGCAGAGGCCAAGAAAGGCTGGCCACAAGCCAGACCTCAAACAGGCCACTCAGTCCTCTACACATGGGGAGAGAGGAGACGAGAAACTGAGCCTCCACCTTGGGAAGAAGGCAGGAGAAGACGCTCTCAGGAAGGGATGGACAGACGGCTGGGTGAGGAGATGAATGGATGTGGGGGTGGGTGGGTGGAAGGATGGGGTCGAAGGCACAGACACTGGCTGTGGTACCCAGTGTTTATATATGTACTCAAGAGTTTCAGTGGGTGATATGGGAGTCAAAGGTACATCACAGAGGTTGCCAGATGGGTCTTGGTGCTAGAGACTGTGAGGTGGGATGGAGTGGCAATAATGCCCGCACATCCTGGGTGACACTGGGATACTTGAAGCCACACGTTTGTACACTAGCAAGTTTGGCACCTCCTCACAGAGGCCCTCAGTAACTCAGTAACCCAACCTGGAGTCAGGTGAGGAAGAACAACCCGCAGCTGTTGTGGAGTTCAAGCTACAGCAGCAGCCACAGCCTCACGCCCCGCCCACAGCTTCAGCCCTGGACCTATCACTGAGGCCCACAGGAGGGAACTGAGTCATGGATCAGTTAAGTGGCCCTGATGTCATAAAGTCACTACGTGACAGGCTTGAACACACCTGTGTATTGTGGCTTTAAGACTTGGTTCCTGTTCCTGTCTCATGATAGTGCCCTGGGTAGTGAAAATCACAGCTGTAAGGGTGATGCCTGACATCAACGGTCGAGGGCCACCTGCACCAGCCTCTGGACTCCATGATAAGATCTTATCTCTGGGCTGGTAGCAAAGTTTCCCAGGTGCCCCAAGGTGTGGGCACTGATGGCTTCAGAGGGCCATAGGCCACACCAGTGGCTGATAGTGAGGGCTGATGTCATTTACTGCATGGCAGCTCGGATGGATGAATCTTCTGTACCTCACTGAGCACCCCAACCAGTGGGGAAGCCACTCTTTGGCCTGCTCCTTGCTGGGCCTCCAGAAGCCTTTATGAAACTCCATAGAGCCAGGGATGCCTGGTGTGACCCTGACCTGACCCCACATTCCCAGGCACCAGTACCAGGCCCAGCAACTCTCATCCGTAGCTGACACTTGCTGACAGCCATTGTCTTGACCTCATAGTGGAAGGGTTTCTTCATTTGCCTATCTTTTTTTAGACAGGATCTCACTATGTAGCCCAGGCTGGCCCAGAACTCACAGATCCTCCTGCCTCTGCCTCTCTAGTGCTGGGACTAAAGATGTGCACCACACCAAGGGAGTCTGAAGGTTAGGCCTCCCAGCTTTAAGCCTCTGGAGGGAATGTGTGGAGCAGCAAACCTGCACTGTGGGTTGGAAGTGTGAAACCATCCTGGGCTACACAATAGGCCCAGGTCTCAAGAAAAATCAGGCTGAGAGGTGGTGGCTCACGCCTTTAATCCCAGCACTCGGGAGGCAGAGGCAGGCGGATCTCTGTGAGTTCGAGGCCAGCCTGGTCTACAGAGTTCCAGGACTGCCAAAGCCACAGAGAAACCCTGTCTCGGAAAACAAAAACAAAATCAATCAGAGCTGTGGCTGCAGCTGTTGCTGAGTGGTGCAGTACATATTGGGCACATATGAGGTCCCAGAGGTCCCATCCCAAGCACCCCATAAACCAGACCCACCAGCATCTGCTCCTCCTAGGTAGTAGCATCAGCTATGTAGTGAGCGTGAGGCCAGCCTGGGCTACACAGTGAGCGTGAGGCCAGCCTGGGCTACACAGTGAGCGTGAGGCCAGCTTGGGCTAAGCTGGGCTGCCCAGCTCATCAGCTGTCACAGGAGGGACAAGGTTACTGGGGGCGTGGGGGGGGCAGTGGGAAGCCCAGACCCTGGCCCTCGTCACTGCTCCTAGGTGGCGCTGTTCCACATCACAGGGCTAAGCTAAGTGACACCCGAGACAAGGGTTGTTCCTACCAGTCATGAGGACTGTCTTGACTGGGCTCAGAGCTGTCAACTATGGACAGGCATTACTGTCCAACTGGGACCTGGGGCAGGCCCAAGTCAGGGGCCCACTGCCTACCATGTGGAGCCCCTGTGGATGGCCACGGTGTGACAGCCCTGTATTCCCCAGTGACCACACCCTTTCACAAAGCCACCTTCAGACCTGGTGGTGGCCCAGAAGCTGGTGTGCTCAGTCCCCTGCAGAGGTGGGGTCTTGGGATGCCAGCACCACACCACACTGGGTGTACATAATGCAGACAAAACCCTTGCACCTGGCAGCTTGGCACCCTGAGCACCACAGATCCTGGGGATGCACTTGTATCCCCAGGCAGTCACAAGTGTGCAGGGGACACTGCAGTAAGTACCACGCTGCTTCACACTGAACCCTACAGCCCTTCCTACCATGCAGGGATGTTGCTCCCACTTGACAGATGAAGAAACTGAGGTCTGGATACCCAAAGAACTACTTGTGATCTCAACCAAAGCACATCCCCACTTTCCTCTGACTGTCACAGGGCAGCCTGAAGGGCCGGGGGGGGGGGGGGGGCACAGGCAGC